TAGTAGTAGTAGTTGTAGTAGAGTAGTAGTTAGTAGTAGTAGTAGTAGTAGTAGTAGTAGTAGTAGTAGTAGTAGTAGTAGTAGTAGTAGTAGTAGTAGTAGTAGTAGTAGTAGTAGTAGTAGTAGTAGTAGTAGTAGTAGTAGTAGTAGTAGTAGTAGTAGTATTATCAGGTAGGTAGTAGTAGGTAGGTAGTAGTAGTAGTAGTAGTAGTAGTAGTAGTAGTAGTAGTAGTAGTAGTAGTAGTAGTAGTAGCAGTAGTTGTCGTCGTCGTCGTCGTCGTCGTAGTAGTAGTAGTAGTAGTAGTAGTAATAGTAGTAGTAGTAGTAGTAGTAGTAGTAGTAGTAGTAGTAGTAGTAGTAGTAGTAGCAGTAGTGCTAGTAATGGTGGTAGTGGTAGTGGTAGTTGTTGTGGTAGTGGGAGAGGTACAGTGATTTGGTGTTGCTGGGGTCCTGGTTGGTAAGGTTTTCAGGATCCCTAGGGATCTGTATGTATTCACAAGGGCCCCTAACGATTCCTGAGGGATTTCTGAGTGACCCCCACGGATTCCTAAGGATTCGTTTGGATTCTTAGGGGTTCCTCAGGATTCCTACGGATTCATAGGGGTTCCTCAGGACGCGATGGATTCCTACGGTTTCCCAGTGACCCTTAGGCAGTCCTAGGCATACCGAGGGTTTCCTTGGGATTCGTAGTTTTCCTTTCCAGATTCCTATGTATTCCTATGGCTTCCTATGGACTCATATGGATTCCTAGGAATTCCTATGCATTCCTGGGGCTTCCTATGTATTCCTGCGGATTCCTGGGGATTCCCAAGGATTCTAGGGGCTCCTAGTGATTGTTCCGGATTCCTATGGATTACGATGGATTCCGATGGAGCCCTATTGATTCCTAAAGATTCCTATGGATCCTTAGGGAGTCCTAGGGATTCCTATGGATTCATATACATATATATATATATATACATTCCCATGGGTTCCTATGGATTCCTAAGGGTTGCTTTTGGGAGTCTCAGGGGTCCCTTAAGGATTTCTATGGATTCCGATGGACTCCGATGTAATATCAATCGAAGTTGCTAGGATGCCAGAGGATTCTTGGGGACCCCTTGGGATTCCTCAGGATCCTGGAGCGGTTTTTTTGATGGATTCATATGGGTTCCTAAGGATTCATACGTATTCCTATGAATTCCAAAGGGTTCCTGTGTAGTCCTATGGGTTCCCGAGGAGTCCTATGGATTCCTATGGATTCCTATGGATTCCTATGGGATCCCATGGATTCCTACGGAGTCCTAGGAATCACATGGATTTCTATGGAATCTGAGTGATTCCAGGAGATTCCTGAGGATTCCGAAGGGTCCCTCAGGATTCCCATGGGTTCCTGAGGATCCTTTGGGGATTCCCCGGGGTTCCGAAGACTCCCTAAGTCGTCCTAGGGAGTCCAAAGGATTACTAGGGATTCTTGTGTATGCCACAGGGTTCCTATGGATTCCTAAGGGAGTCCTATGGATTCTCAGGATTCCTGGGGGTTCCGAGGGATCACTAAAGATTCCTATGACTTCCGAAGGGTTCCTGAGGATTCCGGTGGGTTTCTAATGGTTCCAAAGTGTTCCTAAGGATTCCTTTGTACTCATCAGGACTCCTACGGATTCATAGGGATTCATATGGGCTTGGATTCCGATGACAATCTTTGGAATACCAATCGACGGCACCCCGGGGGGGGTTGCTGGGGTTGCTGGTTGTTATGGTTCTTGTGTATTCCTGAGGAGCGTCGCTTCCCCCCCAGGGGGGGCCGAATGTCACCCGGGGGAGTTGCTGGGGTTGCCGGTTGTTAGGGCTCCTGTGGATTCCTGATGATTCCTGATGATTCTTGGGGACCCCTGAGGATTCCTGAGAGATTCCTGACGGATTCCCAGGTGTTCGTCGGTATCCTCTATGTATTCCAATGTCTTCCTATGTATTCCTGGGTATTCCGATGGACTCGTATGGGTTCCTAGTGAGTCCTCGGGATTCCTAAGGACCCCTCGGGCCTCCTAGGGGTTCCTATGGCTTCCTAAGAAATCATAGGGCTTCCTATGGCTTCCCCAGGATTCCGATGGATTCATCGGGAGTCCTAGTGACTCCTAGGGATTCCTAGGGATCCCTAGGTATTCCTATGGGGTCATACAGATTCCTACGGATTCCTTTGGAATTCTCCCCAAGGGATTCCTATGGAGTCCGATGCATTCCTATGGGATATCGATCGAAGGCCCCCCCCCTGGGGGGTTGCTGGGGTTGCTGGTTGCCAGGGTTCTTGAGGATTCCTGAGGATCTCCTGAGGGATTCCCGCTTAAGAGTTCCGATGTATTCCCGCTGATTCCTACGGATTCCGAGGGATTCCTATGGATTCATTGGGATTTCTATGTCTTCCCAGGGATTCCCAGTGATTCCAACGGGTTCCACTTGATTCCCATGGATTCCTATGGATTCCTAGAGGTTCCTAGGGACTCCTAGGGGTTCTGACAGATTCCTCACGATTCCTAAGGTTCCCTGTGGGCTCCTAGGGGTTCCTAAGGGCTTTCAGGGGTTACTATGATCCAAATAGGCTTGCCCTATACCTATGGGAGTTTAATTCTAAACGCTACGCGTATCCCCACCAGCCCATCCACAAACGATGCGTAGGGGAGCCGACGGAAGAAAGGACGAAGAGACGCACATAGTGAATCCGAGCGGGCAACAACGGTGAATTGGGAGATCTTTTGTGGTGAATGTTGCAGGTGTTGCTGCTGGTGCTCTTGCTCCTGCTGGTACTACTTCTGCTGCTGTTGCTGCTGGTGTTGCTGGTTCTGGGCCAGCGAATGCCCAGGCGAATGGAAGTGATCAGGGAAGTGAGGGAGCACACAGAGTAACCAAGGGCTGGGGAACCTGTCTTATCCAAGACGGCGAGGATGGAGGAGGAATCAAAGGAGGATGAGGAGGAGGAGGAGGGGGAGGGGGA